GGCTGATTTGACGGAGCATGGTGTGCTGCCTGGCTTCAGGGGCTGAGGCAGGGGTCCTCAAACTACGGCCCGCGGCACACATGCAAATACAAATATTGTATTTGTTCCCGTTTTGTTTTTTTACTTCAAAATAAGATATGTGCAGTGTGCATAGGAATTTGTTCATAGTTTTTTTTTTAAACTATAGTCCGGCCCTCCAACGTCTGAGGGACAGTGAACTGGCCCCCTGTTTAAAAAGTTTGAGGACCCCTGGGCTGAGGGTCAGGAGGTGTCCGGGACAAAGCCCAGTCTGCCGCTGGGGGTGACGTGGAAGGTGGTGTTATCCCTGACATGGGGCTTGGGAGGAGCAGCAAGTCTGGGGGTTGATGCTGAGGCAGAGTAAGAATTCTGGAAAATAGGAAGCAATTGGGAGGTGCCCCTTGCCCCTCAGGACCTGGGACCTAGGTTGTCAGGAGCCCTGGGCTGGGCGGGCAGCCAGAGGTCCTGGGGGTGAGCTGGCGTGGAGAACGCCCCTCCTGTATGGCAGGCAGCAGCAGGCACAGAGCCCTGGCCTCTGGGATGACAATAAAAAGAATAATTACAGCTCCCCTAATTGAGCGCCTGTGGTGGCCAGGTACACCGCTGTGTCAGTCCTCCCGGGAGCCCCGGCGGCAGGTGGGAGCAGCCCGGCTTGTCTTATAGAGGAAGCTGAGGCTCAGAAGTGAAACCACGTGCCAAGGTGGAGCGTGTGAGCAGCCGAGCCCGGATATGCCCCTTCCTCGCCACGTGCTGGGCTCCCACAGGTTTCACCCTGACCGCCCTGGCCCCTGCAGGGTGAAGAGGGACCCCAGGGACTCCCCGCCCACGCCCACCTTTCCCCCAGCAAGGCTGGCTCCTCTGTGAGCTCAGGCCATTCCGGAGGCCCTGGCAGAGCCCTGTCCCCGCTGGTGTTCAGCTCCCTTCCCTTCTCCCTGGGCCTCATCAGCCCCCAAATCTTATTTCTTCCTCTTCCTCTCTGTGCCTCCGTCTCCTCATCTCTACACGGGGGACTGTTGGATGATGGAATGCACTCAGATTCAACACAGAGCAGGCCCGGGCTATGGTGGTGTCTTTGGGCAGATGTGTGGAGTAGGGGCCCCTCCCATTTCCTCTGCTCCATTCTCCTTCCCTTCGCTTAGTCATTCATTTGCTTCTTTTACAAGTATCTGCTGTCGCACATTTCATACATGAGTTCATACATGAGTTCATTTAGCCAACCACCCCCCGAGGCAGGCTTGTTTGTGACTCCACATTTCAGATCATCACACTGAGGCTCAGAGAGGAGAGGCTCTACGCCCGAGGTCTCATGGCTGGGACCTGCAGAGCTGGATGCCAGAGTCTCAGACCCCAGGCTTTCTGCCCCATGCCAGGCGGTCTTCAGGTAACACCTCACCCGACAAGAGAGCTGGCCAGTCAGCCTCTGGAACCCCGCCAGGGAGCCGGAAGGAGTCTTGGAAGGCACTGGCGTTCCAGGGAGGGTCGGTTCTGCCCTTGCTTGTTTCTGGGAAGTCCTGGGCCTGCCCACCAGGGCTCACAGCTCTGGGGGGACACATTCATCACTTAACAGTGACAATCCAGAATGGAGTGCGCAGGGCTGGGATAGGTGAGCCTGGAGGGGTATCAAGGCGGGCTTCCTGAAGGAGGGGACATCAAGCATTAAAAGATTGCCAGGTGTTCGCCTGCAAAAGGAGTCATTGTTATATCGTTCCTGGCCATCTCCCTAGGACCTGCTTTCTTCTTTCACTAGTGTTGGTTTGCCACCCTCCCTCTCTCCCTCCCTCCCTCCCTTCTAGAACAATCTATGGAGTTTGGAGCCCTATTCCATTCTATTTCTTTACCTGACTCACTCTTTCTCACCCTACAGGTCTCAGCTTGACATCCCCTCTGGCTTCCCAGCCCTCAGCACTCGATTATCACATTATGAGGATGGATCTGTGTATTGTCCCCACCCCAGTCCCCACTGGACTATGAGCCCAGGGAGGGCAGGACTGAGGGGCGCTCTATCCTTAGACAGGGCAACGACAACTCAAAAAGAAGTAAGACGCCCTGACCGGTTTGGCTCAGTGGATAGAGCGTCGGCCTGCAGACTGAAGGGTCCCAGGTTCGATTCCGGTCAAGGGCATGTACCTGGGTTGCGGGCACATCCCCAGTAGGGGGTGTGCAGGAGGCAGCTGATCGATGTTTCTCTCTCATCGATGTTCCTAACTCTCTATCCCTCTCCCTTCCTCTCTGTAAAATATCAATAAAATATATTTTTAAAAAGTAAGACAAACAAGGCCCTTGCCTTCATAGGGCTTAACTTGAAATTGGGGAGATGGATTATAAGCAAACAAACAAACAAAAATCTAATGGTTTATCAGATGACTCGGGAGAAAAGTAAAGTGGGAGTTAAGGCAGGAATTTCCATTTCAAGCCAGGTGTTAAGAGGATTCTCTCAAGGTGTGCAAGGATACCCAGCCAGTAAGAGCCAGAGCCAGGGATGGGCCTAGGCCACCTGCCCCTGTATCTGCTCCTGCCCCTGTGCCAGGCTCCCCCAGAGGTTTCCAGGTGTGGAGGGTGAGAGTGGGGCCATTTGGGTCTTGGCCCGGCTCAGAATCCTTGCCTGCCACTTGTGGTGTGACCTCAATATGGGCTTTGCCTCAATGAGCCTCAGTCCCCTCATCTGGAAAATGGGGCTAATGTAGTTATCCTCGGGGTAGTTACGAGGGTTCAGTGAAGGGACTCATGTACCAAGAGCCCTGTGTGGCCCATAGTACATCATGGTCCTCCAGTTCTGACAAGCCTTGGCCTTCTGCCTGGCGAATGGCCTCATGGGAGGGGTTTGAGCCTGGCTTTGCTAATATAGACTGGGTGCTTGACCTTGAAAAAGACCTAATGACTCATCTGTAAAGTGAGCACCAGATGGTGCTTATGCCATGGAGATGTGAGGATTCCACGGGTCGAGATGTAGAGTGCAGGGCACAGCCATGGCTCATTTTATTTTATTTTGTTTACTTATTTTTTAAAATATATTTTATTGACTTTTTTGCAGAAAGGAAGGGAGAGGGATAGAGAGAAACATCGATGGTAGAGAAACATCGATCAGCTGCCCCCTGCACACCTCCTACTGGGGATGTGCCCTCAACCAAGATACATGCCCTTGACGGGAATCAAACCTGGGACCCTTCAGTCTGCAGGCCGACACTCTATCCACTGAGCCAAACCGGTCAGGGCAACCATAGCTCATTTTAAATAAAATTGATCTTTTACCCTTGGCCAGGCCACATCCTGTTGGTCCATATCCAGAACATCAATGTCCAGATCCGGCTGTGGCCATGGCCTTGGGGATCTGTCCTGCCAGCCTCCATGCCCTCATCTGCACCCTACCCAGCTCACTCTGCCCAGCCACTCCAGCCTCTCACTCCCCCCACCCCACCCGCCAGGGCCTTTGTACCTGCTGTTCCTTTTGTCAGGAATGCGCTTCTTCAGTCTGGTTTGTCACTTTCTTGGGTCTTGGCTGATATGTCCCCTTCTTATTGAGGACCAAGTAGCTTCCTTCTCCTTCCCCACTTCGTGTCCTAGGCCCCCTGTTTGGGCTTGTGTCCTTGCTTTGAGGGCTGGACAGTCGAGGGGCTCAGGGCATATTCGCGTTTGCTGGTTTATATCTCAGTAGCATGACCTCTCTGGGCCATGGGGAGGATTCAGTGAGACCCTCCTGAGGTCCTGGAAGAAGGTCACTGGCCTGGGGCCTGGAGGACTCATGGTTGGGTGGACGGGTGTGTGGAAATGACCTTGGGTCCTGGAGATTTGGTCATGAGGAGACGAGGCCTGTGTTAGTGTGGGACAGTCGGGACAGGGAAGGGGCAGGCGGAAGAGATGTTGCTGAGCTCAGCTCTGGACCTCAGTTTCCCCATCTGTAAATGGGGAGACTGGGCCCGTACCCAGCCTAGGACCTGTTCTTGCTGGGGCAGCGGCCCTGCTTCATGCCTCCTCCTCCTCTGTCTCCACAGCCAAGGACTACGAGAACGCCATCAAGTTCTACAGCCAGGCCATCGAGCTGAGCCCCAGCAATGCCATCTACTATGGCAACCGCAGCCTGGCCTACCTGCGCACCGAGTGCTATGGCTACGCACTGGCTGACGCCACGCGGGCCATCGAGATGGACAAGAAGTACATTAAGGGCTACTACCGCCGGGCTGCCAGCAACATGGCACTGGGCAAGTTCCGAGCCGCCCTGCGCGACTACGAGACGGTGAGCCAGGCCTCTGGGAGTAGGCCTCTGGGAGTAGGCCAGCTGCCTGAGCCAGGTGGATGCTGAGGGCCGATGTGCATGCCTGGAGAGGGAGGTGGGAGAAGGCCGTTCACGAGTTACTCAGCATCTACATATCCAGCAAAGGTGTAAGGCCCCTTGTCCTGGAGCGACTGCCTGGGTTCATATCCCGGCTCTGCCTGGCCCTCTGTGCCTTCTTCTCCACATCTGTGAGATGGGAGAGCAGTGGGACCTACCCCAATGGGTTGCCATGAAGAGTAAACGAGTTTCTGCTTTTCGGGTGTTTGAACACGGTCGGTGTTCTGTGAGCGTGTGCTGTAGGATTATTGTTGTTCTCTGTTGAATGAGAGCCACAGCCTTTCTTCAGAGAAGCTGATGGTTCAGAGGCGAGCATGTAAGCAGAATCCATCCAGCTGGGAGGAACTGGAGTGGGGTGATGTGCTCTAGAGGAAGAGCAAGTGGGGGATGCGTTGTGATGAGGGACGGGACCCCCTCGGTCACCTGCCATTCCCGCTGTAATTGCTCTGATAATAGGAATAATGATAGTCGGAAGGACCCACAGGGGACATGCCTTCATGCCAGGCACCTTCTGCAGCCTTCACATCAGTTGGCTGACTGAATTGTGGTTCTGTGGGGTGGGAACTGTGTTTACCCTGTTGTACAGAGGAGACAAGGCCCAGAGGGGTAAGGCACCTGCCCACCAACATGCAGCCGGTGGAAGGATCGCAGCGCTGGGATTTGAACCCAGGCAGCCGGGCCTGCCAGCCCCCGTCTCCCCAGCCTCGGAGAGTTAGCTTCCTGAGAGTCGGGTTCATTTGTTCTGTTCATTGGGATGGTGCGCCCTGCAGCGGCTCAGTCAGTATTTGTGGATTGAATTCTTACTCTGCCCTCAGTGCACACACACCCTCCTTCCATTTCACTCCTGCACACATTGAGCAGCTTCTGCTGTGGGGAGGGCGGCCAGGGGGGCTGAGAGGCACAGGCTGCCGTTGGAGGGATCCTGGTCGGACTGCCCGGCCTGGCTGCTGGCCGCTGGCCTCGGGTGGAGGGTGGATTTCAGGCCAGTGAAAGCTGAACCAAGCCTCGGGCCAGAGGACACCTGTGTCAGGGTGGGGGCAGAGGTGTGCAGGGAGCGGGTAATTTAGAGACGGGGACACAATGGAGGAGGATGCTGGGTGACACCCCCAGGATGAGGGAAGGAACAACAGAACAGAGTCCCTGTTAGCTTGGGCGCCCAAGCCATTCCTCAGTCAGTCCTCTCCCCGTCCCTGGTGCCCTCCCTCATCGGGCATGGTGACAAGAGGAGTGGCTGTGGGGCTCTGTGAAGTGGTGTGAGTAAAGGTCATTGGGGCTGGAGGGTCACTAATGAGTAACCCAGAAGGACAGTGGGGGTTGGCTGGGGGCAGGGCTTTTCTAGGGCTCCGGGTCAGGGTGGGGAGTCGTAGAGCGGGAGCTGGGGCATTTGAAAGTGAGATCTGACCACAGGTCTTCCCCACTCCCAGGGCTGCAGGAAAGAGGCTTTTCCTGGGGTGAGGAGCAGGGGTTCTTCCCGTGGCTCGGGCCCAGATTGGGCCCTAGCCTTGCATTCTCCGTGAGACTGAGGTGGTTCGGGCCGCCATCCTGTGGGTACCACGTCTGAACTTCATCCCCAGCCTTGTGGATGTCATGGGGTGGGGTGGGGGGGTCACAGTCTTTTTCAAATCAACTTGCCTTTATTGTGGGGGCTCTGCCTGAAGCATTGGAGAGTCCCCACGTGAGCCTGAGATCCTTGCCGGCCTGGGCCTGGGTCTGGCCCACCCTTGGCCAGCCACCCTCATGCCTGCAGGCTGGTCACCCTTCTCCATGCTGACATGTTTCTTCAGCCTCTGGGTGCAGGCAGAGGGGCCAGGCCCTGGGGCTGCTCCCCCTCCAGTCTCTACCTCCTACCCTCCGGAGCTGTCTTAGGACGTGTGACTCTCATGGAGGGTGTGCCCAGGGCCCCCCTCAGATCTGGGCCTCCTTGGAGGTGGAGCCAAGACGTGACCTTGGTTGAACAAACAAGCCCAAGGTTCTGCCTCAGCAGCCTGGGCCCTCGGGTGGAGGGCCTTCCCTTTGCAACCTCGGTTTCCTCGTCTGCGTGCTCACTGTGGGCCTGGCTCTGTTGTGAGCTCTCTGCCTGCATGAGTTTAGTGTATTTTACAGGAAGGAAACGGGTCTAGAGAGGGGGAGCCCCTCCTCCAGGGTCACCCAGCCGAGAAGTGGCAGAGCTGGGACTTGAACCCAGAGTCTGTGCTTGTAACTGTTAGAGGCTGTGAAGTCAGTGTAATGGTTTGAGACCACTTTCATCAAATACAGTAAAGAAGAAAAAAGGTCAATATTTGGAGAATTTTGTGTGTATATGTTTCTGTGAAAAAATTTTCATTTATGTGAATTTAGATGTGTGTTAGGTGTGACATAAAATACATATTTCTTACTGGGAGTCAGAGTCTTCAGGCCACTGGTGCAGCTGGAGGCACCAGCCCCCTGCCAGGAGGCCCAGCTCTGAGCTGTGCAGCTCTGAGGGCTCATCTCCAGCCTCTGTCCTCATCTTGAAATGGGGAGAAGAGTAGGGGCTGCCTCCGTGACCTTGTGAGGATTAACGGAGATCAGTACGTTAGAGTGGGACCTGCCCCCACTTAGCACTGGGTGCGTTTTCTCCTGGGGGTGTTGGGGGAAAGCCTGAGGCCCATGGGAAGCGCTGCGTTAGGGGCCTGGGAGCTGGCGGTGTTTCCATTCTAAGGCCACGCCTCAGATATCAGCTCCCCTCTGCATGGATCCATGATGAATCCCCAAACCCCAGCCTCCCTCATCTCCAAGTTCATCCACCCACAGGGACCCTTGCTTCAGGATTCCCTGCCCCTTTATTGGGTCCTCTTCCTGGGTTCTTTCTTGTCTGCGGTGGAGCTCAGGGGGTCACGTGGGCCCAGGCTGGATCTGGGGGACTCCTTCTGCACTCCCTCCTCGCCCCTTTCTGGGATTTGTTGGGTTGGGTTTGTAATACGGTTTGCATTTGGGTTCTTACAGCATAGTCTGTGCGGCCAGGGAAACGTGTGTCTGCCTTGCAAGCCCACACAGGCCTGTGCCTAAGGTGTGGACACGTGGCAGTAACAGGACTAGTCAGAGCCGAAACCCAGTACAGTGCTCACCACCGTTGGGACCCTAATACCTAATAACTCGCGTCATCTTCTTAGCAACCCTGTGCATTGGGGCCTGTTGTCCTGATTGACAGGTGAGGAAGCTGAGGCCCGGAGAGAGGTCACTCCCCGAGGCCCCCCAGCCAGGAGGTGATAGGCTGGTACCAGAGTCAGGCTCCTGACCACCGGCTGTTCACCGTGGGCACCAGTGTCCTGGCGCAGTGCTTGCCCTCAGCTCAGGCAGTGTACTCGATGGTCTCCTCTCCTCTCCTCTTCTCTTCTCTTCTCTTCTCTTCTCTTCTCTTCTCTTCTCTTCTCTTCTCTTCTCTTCTCTTCTCTTCTCATTATTATAAGAGGCGTATTGGCTGAATTAATTCACTAGAGGGTCTCAACCTATGGGCTGAAAACCCAAGTGTCACACTTAAGACTGTCCCGTGCAGTGCCTGCCTAAGAAACCTGGCTTCCCTCCGGCTCGGGCGGGCGGTAGCTCTCTGGGCTGTTTATCATTGTGTCATTATAGATAATCACAATGTCCATCACGTGTTGTCATGTAGGTCCCCTGAGGTCAGGAGCACTTGCCTTGGGGCCTGGCTCCTGCTGCTGGTCTAGAGTCTCTCACCCTCAGTTCCAAACCCAGGCCATTCTGAAAACCAGTTTTTCCAGTAAATTTGGGCAACTCATTTGGTGGCAAAATCTGACCTGAACTAATGAGAGGCCGTTGATGGTCTTGATGGCTCCCACGTGGTGAGCCTAGAGGTTTGGGAGTGTGTGTGGTGACCAGGTGCCACTCAGACCTGCTGGGGTGTCACATAACAGCTGAGCACTGTGTCAACTTCATAAAACCCAGAAACCTCCCAGTTCCCAAACACAGCAGCCCCTGGCTTCTAGGCATTGCCGAGCTGTGCTGTCATTTCATCGATTCCAGCATAATTGCCTGTGAGCAGTCCCAGCTGCAATACCACTTTCCGAAAACGTCTTTTTATTTTGCGAGTGTTATAGGAAGTAATAGAGAGATCCCTTCTCCCAGGTTCCCCAGTGACATCACTACATAAACATCACAGTCAGGAGCCTGGCATTGAGACGATCCAGGTACCACATTTTAAAGAAAAGCGCAGCCTTAAGTTCTGGCCTAACCGGCCTCGACTCCTGCAGAGCCCGCCCCGTCCCTCTGGTCTGAAGCACTGGCCTTCCCCAGGTGCCTGGCAGCCCCCCCCCTCCTTTCCCCCCCAGGTAGCGCGTAATAGCAGCAGCTGCAGTCCCTGGCACTAGCCCTGGCTCACTGCTAGGCCCTGCGATGGGCCTGGTGTTGAATTCTCACACCACCCTCCACGGGACTGCCGGCACCCTCCCCACTTTCTAGAAGCTGAGGGAGGCCTGAGGTGGGGCTGCTTGCCCTGGAAGGCCTGACCCCAGAGAGGGCGCTCATGGCCACGACCCCACACTGCTCCATGGAGGGCATACAGGGTGCTGTGGGGACGTGTGGCATTGGTCAGGGGAGGGAACATGACCCAGCATGTGTGGTACAAGTCAGGAGCCTACACAGGAAGGGAACAGAATCCCGGCCTCCTGGGTCGGTGGCACCTCTCTGGGCCTCAGTTTCCTCACCCATCAGATGGGATTGTGATAACACCACATAGAGCTACTTTGAGCAGATGAGCAAGTTCATTGCTTACAACAGTGTCAGGCACATAAAACGTGTCAGGAAATTAGCCATGTTTTTGCTTCTGCTTCTGTTACGGCTCCTCCTCCTCTTCCATTGTCAGGGTTTGTCCCCATCCTCCACCCCAGACTGTGAGCTCGCTGAGAACTGGAGACTGGCCAGGGGGTAAGCTGAGTGGTTCATCTGCTCACTCGGGGCATTCATTCACTGCTGGGACACAGCCTCAGCCCCGCCTCACGGGCCACCGTGCGGGGGGGATGTCCCCTGTCCAGCAGTGCTCGTGCTGGCCAGGAGGTCCAGGGGCTGGTGGGAGCCCAGAGGGGTGCCTGACCCAGCCTGAGTGACGGGAAGGGGAGACCTGGAGGAGGAGGAGCTGGATGGGGCTTAGAGGTGGGAGGGGATGAGGAGTTCCGGGCCGGGGCGGCCCGTACAGGACCTGGGGTGAGAGGAGATGGTGCATGTGGGGACTTGGAGGTCGGCCTGGCCGGGCAAACAAAGGGCTTCTCATGAGCCAGGCCAGGTGGTGGTGTGGACTTTATCCCGGGGTGTGGACTCAACCTCTCCGTCCCGGGAAGGACTCCAGGGGATGTCTGGTTCTGCCTCCCTCCCGAGCCTTGCACCGCACCCGTGCCCCAGGTGGAGCTGCCTGGCAGGGTGCCCTAGCCTGAGCCTGTCCAGACAGGGAGGAAGCCATCGCCAGCCGCAGCCAGCGTTCTGCCACTCGCCTGGTCTGCACAGCCATTCCCAGCGCGGACGAGCCGCACTGACCCTCAGGCACAGGCTTCTGACTCACTCTGCCAGGCCTTCAGGGGGCATCACCACCCCTCTCTGCCCCTCACCCCGCACAGGCGTTGTGGGGCCACTACTAACAATGACAGTAGCACAGATAACTACCTGAGGCTCAGAGGAGCTTGGGGGCGGGGGGGGGGGGTGGAGTCACTTGCCTAAGGTCACACAGCAAGCGAGTGGCAGAGCAGGGATCAGAATCCAGCCCTCTGTGCTTCTGAGTTAGGAGGATGCCGGGTACAAGGTGGAGAGAAAGGAGGGGATGGGCTCTTTTTACATATGAGCTGGTGTAATCGGCACAGCAGCCTGGGAAAGGGGCCATAAGGAGCAGCGACGTTTACGCAGGGTTGACCCTGGCCTGGCGCAGCTGCACACACTGCGCAGTGTTCATTCATTTAGTCTTCACAGCAGCCCTCGGAGGCAGTGACTCCTACCACTCCCATCTCGGAGAGGAAACCGAGCCACAGAGAGACACACTGGCTGTCCAAGGTTGCTCCGCTGATGGTTGATTGGTGGAGCTGGGATTTGAACCCAGGTAGCCTGGGTCTGTGGCCCCTCCCTTCAGAAGAGGAAACTGAGGGAACTCATTTGCCTGCATCTCCCAGCAACCCAAGGAGCAGATACCACTCAGTGCTGGCTGTGCATGTGTCCCTACTCATGAACCAGAGCGGCCGAGGCCCACTTTACTGCTATTGTCACCGTCAATACCTCGGATGGGGCAGTTTTATTTTAATGATGGAGCTAAGATTTATTAACATCACCCGTGTGGGTTACTGTGTTTACCCTCACAGCAGCCCGTGTGGTCTAGTTTGGGGGTGCAGAAACCTAGGCCTGGAGGTGAGAGGTGTCCAGGGCTGCCCCACTAGTGCATGACGGCCTGGGTGGTCTGGCTTCATCATTCACAGCCGGGCAGACTGTGGGCAGCTGTGGCGTCCCCACCTCCTGACTGCTGTCTGCCCCCTCCTTGGTCTGAGCCTTGATGCCTCCTCCCTTCCTCCCTCCCTCCCTTCCTTCCCCATCCTTCTTCCCTCCGTTCCTCCCTCTCCCTTATTTCCTTCCCTCCTCTACCCCCTGCCTGCCCAGGTGGTAAAGGTGAAGCCCCACGACAAAGATGCCAAAATGAAATACCAGGAGTGCAACAAGATCGTGAAGCAGAAGGCCTTCGAGCGGGCCATCGCGGGCGACGAGCACAAGCGCTCCGTGGTGGACTCGCTGGACATCGAGAGCATGAGTGAGTCAGGCCCAGGCTCAGCCACACCCAGTCCAGAACATTCCACATCCTTGCATGGCCTCTCCATTCCCTGTGCACACTGTGGGGTGGGGAGGTGGGGCTCAGGGCTGGCCTCCGGCCCCTGTCCCCAGGCTGCTGTCTGTTGCTTCCCCACCTGCCTTCCTGGGGAGTCCAGAGTCCGGATTTGGGCTTTGAGTCCCCAGTTTGGGAGATGTGGGTGAGCACCTCCTCCTCCTGCCCACCCCTCACGGGCCTCCTGTGTCGGATTTGTCTCTAGGTCTTCTAGACACTCAGATAATTCACTCATTCATGCCACAGATCACTGCTGAGCACCTACTATGTGCCAGACACTGTTCTAGACACTGCCCTCATGGAGCTGATGTTCTGGTGGGGAGAGAGATGATTAACTAGTCAACAAACGAATTAATAGTGTTAAGTGCTACAAAATCAAATAGGCAGAGGAGAGAGAGAGGCACAACAGGCAGGGAGGTCAGGGAGAGGGCCTCTGAGCTGGCCCAAATGGGAGGAGCAGGCCGTGAGGGGACCTGCCAGGGAGTGGAATCCTCTCTCTCCTTCACATCTTAACCTGAGGGTCCAGAGCTGCGCCTGCCCCAGGCCTGGGAGCCAGCCCCCCTCCCACCCTCACAGTGGCTGTGGCCCCTGACTCATTCCTTCGCTCACACATTAGCTATCGAGGATGAGTACAGCGGGCCCAAGCTTGAGGACGGCAAGGTGACAATCACCTTCATGAAGGAGCTCATGCAGTGGTACAAGGACCAGAAGAAATTGCACCGGAAATGCGCCTACCAGGTAACGCATCTGTGAGGTGTGGCACAAGGCTGGGCCCCCAGGGTGGCATCACAGTGCTGGCTGCTGAAACAGCCACAAAGAGAAGGGTGGCCACAGTAGCTGAACACTTGCTGAGCTGGGGGTATGCTGGGCATTGCGAATTCTCTATTTCTGATATTGTTATTTTTTATTTTTAGCATTTCCATTCAGTTCTTTTTTAATAGTTCCCATCTCTCTGCCCCATATGTTCATGTGTGTTGTCTCCCTTTTCCACTAGACCCTTTAACACGTTTATCAGAGTTATTTTAAAGTCTCTGTCTGGTAATTCCACCATCTGGGTCATCTCTGGGTCTGCTTCTGCTGCCTGTTCTTCACATGCCAGTTTTTATTGTGTGCCAGACATTCTGTGTAGAAGAGACTGAGATCAAACTTCTCAGCAGAAAATGGCAGGACTTCCTTCTGCCAGGCAGCTGGTGTGAGGGCTGTCCGTCTCACCTGCAGTCGGGCAGCTGTGGTTGGACTAAGTTCACCACTGGCTTTAAATGTTTCAGAGTGGAAGCAGGGTCTCCCTTCAGCAGGGCTTGGGATGCCAGCGAGCGATGTCTTCATGTTGTAAAGTCTCCAGCTTTGGCTCTCTGAGAGTGCTGATTTTCAGGCGCACTGCCAGAGATTTGGGTGGCTGGGGAGTCCTCTGTTTCCAGTCCCGCCCCCCACTTTTGTGCCTCGGGAAGTCTGTCCCCGCCATGCTGCCCTGCGCCTCGCCTCCTGTGACAGCCAGTGAGGGAGTTGGTGGGTGAGAACAGAGGTGTTTTGGGGCTGGGGCTCCTTGGGGCTCTCAGCTGTCACACCAGCCCACGCCGGGCATGGACTTCTGCTCCCTCCCCCAGCCGTGGCGGTCTTGCCCTCCTGGAGGAGACCAGGATGAAAGCGGTCATGTCTTCTCCCCCAAGGAAGGGCCTGGCACTGTCTACAACTGGATTGATTTAGGTTTCTTTGCATCCTCAGCTCTTGGATGTTTTTGTGTGTGTGTGTTTTGTTTTTTGTTGGGATTTGGCTTGTTTTCATCATTAGGGCAAGAGTGACGATCTTTTATAATTTTACTAGAGGCCCGGTGCATGGGATTTGTGCACCTGTGGGGGGCGTGGCCTGCAGGGATCTCCGGCTGTGGGAGCGCCGCTCATCCTGGTCAGCAGAGCGGCTGTGGACCTGCCCTCTGAGCGGCTGCTCCCTGGTCTGGCATCTTCCGTGGAGCGGAAGCGCTGGCCTCTCCAGGGGACCCAGTCGGGGCCGGGCCCAGGGACAATAGCACTGAGAGGTGGTGGTGTAGGCTTCAGTCCCTTGGCGGCCATGAACCCGCCTCCCAGCCTCCCGGGTCAGCTCTGCGAGCCCAGCAGTGGCGCTGGGCGGCCTGTGGGCGTCCAAAGGAGGCGGCAGGGAGTGAGGAGGAGGAGCCTGGGGCGAGGAGGCAACAATTGCAACCCAGGTTCCTGCTCCTCAGCCAGAGGTTCGCAGCGGGAGCAGTCGCTCATCCCGGTTAGCGAGCGGCAGTCCCACTGTGGCAGCGCACTGACCACCAGTGGGCAGCTCCTGTGTTGAGTGTCTGCCCCTAGTGGTCAGTGCACAGCACAGCGACTGGTCATTCTGGTCGTTCCACCGTTCGGTCGCTGGGCTTTTATTCTATAGGATATGTTCTGACCAGAGTGGACATCTACTTTTTAAAAAATGTATATTTTAATTGATTTCAGAGAGGAAGGGAGAGGGGAGAGAGAGACAGAAACATCAATGATGAGAGAGAATCATTTGATCGGCTGCCTCCTGCACGCCCCCTACTGGGGATCGAGCCCACAACCCTGTCATGTGTCCTTGACTGGAATCAAACCCGGGACCCTTCAGTCCGCAGGCCAACGCTCTATCCACTGAGCCAAACCAGCTAGGGCTCATCCATGTGTTTCATGATGCTGATTATTTTAAGAGAAACCAAGACTCTCAATTTTCATGTGAAATAACTTTGATACTGAAATGCCATAGAGATCACTTGGGTCACAGTTTGGGGGACACCTCTGGCCTCAGCAAGCACCCAGTTATCTGGGCCTCCCCCTGCCCGTTCCTCCCCACTGCCCACCAGTCCCACTCACAGCCTGCCCTGCCTTCCAGATCCTGGTACAGGTCAAAGAGGTCCTTTCCAAGCTGAGCACGCTCGTGGAGACCACGCTTAAAGAGGTGCGCGCTGTGGGGCGGTGTGTGGGTGGGCCAGGTGGGGCTCCCTGGCTGGGGAGGGGCCACGGAGCTCAGAAACTCACAGGCCCACCTGGCTTGGTCTGCCTTCCCTCTCCTTCCACCCCGTGTCTGTCTCCCTGGATGTCCCTCTCCTGGCCTCTCGGTCTCTGTCCCACCCTCTCCATGTCTGCGTCCTCTGCCTGTGTCTTTGCATGGTTCTTCTCGGTCTGCCATGACCTCTTGCCTCTCCCCTCCCCTCTGCCCCCTCCCCACATCTCTCTCTGGGCCCCTCCCTCTCCGGTGGCCTCTTTTCTTCCAGACAGAGAAGATTACAGTGTGCGGGGACACCCATGGCCAGTTCTATGACCTCCTCAACATATTTGAACTCAACGGTTTACCCTCAGACACCAACCCCTATGTATCCTTCTCAGAAGAGCAAACCCCGCTCCCCCAGCCTGGATGTGGGAGAGGAGCCCCAGCAGAGAAGCAGCCTGAGCGCTTACCCGGCCCCGGGATGTGGGTGGACACGGCCAGGCCAGGCCCGCCTGCTGTGTGACAGGGCAGGTGGCGCAATCTCGCTGGGCCCCAGCTTCTCTTTATCTTGAAATGGGGCAGCCACAAGATCCGATACAGCGTCTGGCACTGCCCACACCGGGTGCCCTCTTGGCTTTGCTACTTGGCAGCTGTGGGACCGTAGCCGTTAACTTCACCTGCCGGTGCCCAGCCTCCTCATTGCAAAATGGGGATGATAACGGGGCTGCCTCCTGGGGTTACTGAGGAGGCGAGGAGTTAATGTACATGAAGTG